CAATATGGTCCGGAATATTACTTCCATTATAGTTTTCAATATGGTCCGGAATATTACTTCCATTATATTTTTCAATATGGTCCGGAATATTACTTCCATTATAGTTTTCAATATGGTCCGGAATATTACTTCCATTATATTTTTCAATATGGTCCGGAATATTACTTCCATTATATTTTTCAATATGCTCCGGAAGAATATTTCCATTTTTGGCTTACAGTTAGTTTAAAAATTTTACTATTCTAAGAAAAGGTATTTGTTTAAAAAAACGTTTTCTTATGTTTTTAACAGATTTAGATATTTTGAAAAGTCTGAAAAAGAAAGAGCAACATTTTTGACCTTTTCAAGGAAGAAGGCAGGTGTTAAAAGTGGGTTGGCTCATTGAATACAATATTCAAGGATGGGGGGGGGGGTTTTTAGAGGGATAGATAGATTGACAGAGAGTGAGAGGTATATTGAAACTGGCATTATTGTACTACAATCAAACCTTTGTTAGGATACATCTGCTATACATAGAATACATAGGATACATAGGATACATATACTCGATACTGCAGACATACTTCATTTAGTCAATTAAACAGGAAAATATAATGCTTTAAGCCAACCCCCCAACCTCCTTTTCTGCAAAAAAGGGAATGTAAAGTTTTGGAGAAATATATTTTGAAAATATAAAATTGAAACGTACATTTACTACATATATTTTAAGATTTAATCTTTATCTTTTTTCAAAATTTTAAATTGTTTGTTAAAATACTTGAATAACGAAAATGTTAATGTTTTCGAAAGTAATATGATGTTAAGATAAAATTTTGAAAAATTTATCTTTTAAAAAAGTCTTTTTAATAATTTATTGTTTGTGTGTTACATCATGTACTGTTTGTGTGTTATATCGCGTGTTTATTGTATGCATAATACATATATTGTGTGTATGGGGCGTATGCGTGCGTGTGTGTGTGTGCATATTGTGTGTATTGTGTGTGGTCGTCTAGTTATCAGTGTACCCCTACTGTGAGATATAAGACAAAGCCAATAAACCTGCGGCAGTCTTCAACTCTAACCCCTTTACCTTCCCTTCCCCTTCCCCTTCACCTCCCGGCCCTTCCCTTTCACCTCCCCTTTACCTTCACCTCCCCTTAACCTTCTCCCTTCCACCTTCCCTTCACCTCCCCTTCTACCTTTTCCTTTACCTCCGTTCTACCTTCTCCCTTCCACCTTCCCTTCACCGCCTCTTCCCCTTCACCTCCCCATCTACCATTTCCTTCACCTCCGTTCTACCTTATCCCTTCCACCTTCCCCTTCACCTCATTTCCGAATTCTCCTTCACCTCCCTTCTTCATTCTCCCTTCTACATTCCCCAATTCACCCCCCTTCAACCTTCTTCCTTCTTCCTTCTACCTTCTCCTTCACCTTCCTTCTATATTCCCCTTCACCTCCACCTTCCCGTACCCCGAAACTTTTCTTTTCCCCTCCACTTCTCTTCTACCTTCTACCTTCTAACTTACCCTTTCCATCCACCTCCCCCTCCACCTCCCCCTTCTCATCAACCTTCCCCTGCAGCTTCTCTTAATTTTACCTTCCCCTCCAAATTCCCCTTCCTCTCATTCTCTTCTTTGGCCTTTCCCCTTCCCCTATAGCTACTGGGTCCAAACCAAGCAAATAATAAACCCTTAACGGCCAGATCCCCCCCCCCTCCCCTCCTCTTCTCTTTACATTTATTCACAGGATATTTACTGCACTAATTATTCACACATTTGTGTATATTTGTATATATGCATGACAGAGAGTGTTTTTGAGCGTAGTCCACAACATTTTGCCTTAGTATTAAACTTTCAGAGTTTTATAAAAAAAAAGCTTCGATCTAATCATATTTTATTTATAAAATTGTTGAGGCTATTTTGTATTTTAATTTCGAAGATCATAAATTAACACTCAGTTTTTTTCCATACATTTATTAGTAAATAATAGTATTTTCCATACATTTAATAGTAAATAATAGTATTTTATATACATTTAATAGTAAATAATAGTATTTTATATACATTTAACGCTTTTAATAAAACAATTGTCAGTTTCTTGTAAGATAAATGATTTGAATAATTTATCTTAAATACCTAAAGGGGATTTAAGCGCACAAGCAGCCGTAGTACATTTGAATATTCGGGCCGGGTCAACCTTTCCAGTCCCAGTTTGAACTGTATTGCCTGGACATTGGGTAAATAAATCAGACACTCAATAGGAGTAGCCGGTGCAAGAAGGTTGACGCGGCCAGACATTATGTTGAATTTACTTTTAACAAAGGGTCTGAGGTATGTACGCCTTAAGGTACTGTTGTGAATCAGGCATTCATACCATCTTTATATGGAGCATCAGTTGAAATTAAGCTTATCAGATTATTTAAATCCAATTGCAAATAATATGATGTTCAGTTGCAATTCCGCATTAAACTAACTGCAAAGTTCTTGCAGAAAAAATTATCTGCGAAACAAATAAAATTACTTTGTTCTTTTAAATTTCAATGCAATTCTAAAAAATAATAATATTACGATTTCAAATTTGATCATTATCAACACTTTTTCAGAAACTCTGTTTCAAAGCTAATGGCAAGATTTCAAAATGAGATGAAAAGTTTTTTATCGCAGTCTCAATCTTTGTACTTTATTTAGGATTTTCTTTTCTCTTTTTTCAATATGGTCCGGAATATTACTTCCATTATATTTTTAAATATGGTCTGGAATAATACTTCCATTATATTTTTCAATATGGTCAGGAATGTTACTTCCATCATATTTTTCAGTATGGTCCGGAATATTACTTCCATTATATTTTTCAATATGGTCCGGAATATTACTTCCATTATATTTTTCAATATGGTCCGGAATATTACTTCCATTATATTTTTCAATATGGTCCGGAATATTACTTCCATTATATTTTTCAATATGGTCCGGAATATTACTTCCATTATATTTTTCAATATGGTCCGGAATATTACTTCCATTATATTTTTCAATATGGTCCGGAATATTACTTCCATTATATTTTTCAATATGGTCCGGAATATTACTTCCATTATATTTTTCAATATGGTCCGGAATATTACTTCCATTATATTTTTCAATATGGTCCGGAATATTACTTCCATTATATTTTTCAATATGGTCCGGAATATTACTTCCATTATATTTTTCAATATGGTCCGGAATATTACTTCCATTATATTTTTCAATATGGTCCGGAATATTACTTCCATTATATTTTTCAATATGGTCCGGAATATTACTTCCATTATATTTTTCNCCTGCAGCTTCTCTTAATTTTACCTTCCCCTCCAAATTCCCCTTCCTCTCATTCTCTTCTTTGGCCTTTCCCCTTCCCCTCCTACTCCCGCTCAACCTTTTCCTTCCCCTACTCTTAGGGAGGGGGTGTAGCTTTACTCTCTATACTACGTATAGAATAATCTGGTTTAAATCAATTTTTAAGCAAACTTGTAATAAGGCGTGATAACGAGAATTTAGAAGCCCTGTCGCCCTGTCCTCAATCTCTATTGCATCTTTTATATAAAACTATTCATTAAAATCTTTATTCGGGGTTCTCCTATATTCTGAATAAAAAGGGTAGAATGAAGGAAGGAGATGATGGTTTCAAGAAAAGATGAGTTTTTGGTATTTTATATTTCTTTTATCTTTCCCCGCCATCTTTAGTCTGCAATATAAAATGTATCCCTGGAATGCCGCTGACAGATCTCTGCAGCACGCGCAGCCAGGATCAAACATCGCTTTTAAAGAGACCATTGAACGAACATTTTAAGTAACCCTCCATGTTATAAAGCGGGATATCCGATTCACAATGGTAACCTTTAAAACCATTATCTGATCATTGATGTGGAAGATTACGTTTTTTAGCTTGGAATTATTTCTGACAATATACTTCAACTTTTTTTGAAGCAGATTTGCGCAAGTCATTTAGTAGAGAAACCACATTCGAAACTTTTTAAAGAGGACATTTTCGACGTCCTCATGAGTTCTTGATCAGACGAAGGTTTCAAGGGTACCGTTGTGAATCTGACATGCCACTCGATAAATGGAGAGGCACTTGAAATTACGTTTACAGTCCCTTTAAAAC